GCGGTACTGGGCGGATCTATAGTCGCTCGTGCCAGATTGCCTCACTTCTTGCCACAGCACAATCCTGCACCAGAACCAACTAAACCCCGCTCCAGACACGACGCGGGGGCAGGGGCCAATGTGAGTAGCAAAGTCCGACTTGTGCCTGATTGCTCACCGATGACGCCCTCGATCCCAGAGATATGGCGCCATCGCTCGTGACGTAGCAAGACCGGCGAAGTCGCAGGATGGCCACCCTGTTGCTGGCCGCGCCGCCGACCCACCGTCATCTCTCCGAACTCCGTTCGCGAGTCGGCGCGGTGCACGTGCTACGAGACTATGGTTGAAGACCTGCTGATCACCAGGCTTGATGTTTCCCATTTTTTACGCTTTCATGCCGATGACTGAGTCGCTCCGCCGTTCCATCTCGGATGATATGGCGGAGATGCGCGAACTCAACAGCGCCGGCGCCTACTGGATGCGTACCGGAGTGGGTTAACACCACGGGCCGCAGTGCAACCCGCTGGACACGAAAGATCGCTCTTTTCGGCTGCACGGCTGTCGGTCGCCACACGGCTACTCCAAGCTCAACCAGGCGCGCGTCCTGATGAACCAGATTGAGACCTTCCGACGGCACGCCCTCGGTTCCTTCCGCACCATGCTCGTCGAGTTGTCGAAAGACCCGGCCATGATTATCTGGCTCGACAATCACGACAATCATAAGGGCGACATCAACGAGAACTACGGCCGGGAATTGCTCGAGCTGTTCTCAATGGGCGTCGGCAACTACTCTGAAGACGACATCAAGGAGTGCGCCCGCGCCTTCACCGGCTGGACTCTGGGCAACGCCGAGTACATGCGCACGCGTGCTTTTCACCAGTGTCGCGATTCTTCTGGCCTTACACACAGCCGCATCAGCCGGCACTCAATTACCGTGCACGACACACGACTACGGACGAGAGAAGACCTTAACTCGGCACACCGCACTTCAAACGGCCTTTTGATGACATATCGACATCATCGTGCAACAGGACGCCACCGAGCCTCTGTTTCTGTGCACCCGACTGCTCCGTTCGCTCTCTCTTCGCCGCAGACGCGGTGAGCGAAGCTGGCGAAGCCGCCATCGAAGATATGGTGGCGTCCTACTTCGCTTCCAATTACGAGATCAGCCCCATCCTGCGTACGCTGTTTAACTCGGACTACTTCAAGTCCGAGCAGGCGCGATTTGCCCGCGTGAAAGGTCCGGTTGAGCTGGTTGTTGGAGCCGTGCGCATGGCTGGTACCTACCAGGAGCCAACCTTCGGGGCTGATCAACTGGCACGCCACACCGTCTACATGGGGCAGGGAATCTTCCAGCCACCCAGCGTTGAAGGATGGCACGAAGGAGCCGAGTGGATGTTGACAGCGGGGCGTTGGTCGAGCGGGTCAACTTCGTTGGCAAGGAACTGGGCGATCCCGGCAACCCCGGCGTCAAGGCCATCATCGACCGCCTCGCCACCCAGGTTGACGGCTAGCCACTGTCATTTTGCGCACCCGAAGACCAGCTGATGTTCGGGAGGGTCGTTGACGGTTGCGTTGATCCTCCTCGGGCCCTGCCGGTCTGACGAACAACACACCGAACACTCGCTGATGTGAGTTTCTGCCCGCCGAACAGCTTGTGCGCGGCGGACGCTCCTCGCCCCGACATCCGCACGGAGGCCGACGAACAGCGCATCGCCAACCTCCTGCGTCTGCTCACCGCGACTCGCGAGTACCAACTGGCTTAACACACAGTTCATCCCCATCTTTATCGTCTTTTCGTCGCCCTTTGACAATAGCCGGGCGGACTGTTTTCAAATCAAAACGCGACCACATCCGCAACAGATATGCCGTCCCTCCAGCTACGTGCTTTCGACGACGTACTTCCGACTACCTGCATCCGGCTACCCGATAACGAGCCGACTCCATCGTGACGACTTGTCTGTGCTGTATATGCGCCGGCCCGCTGGAATACATCAAGACGGTCGGCCTCACCACCAATCAAAGCGGGCGTGGGTTCATCAACCCCTACGACTCCGCAGTAACTGCTGATGGCCGCATTCTGGTGCTCAGCCATTGCGACACGGCCCGCGCGGCGCTGGTTCGCATCGGCATACTGAGCTGGGAAGAAGACTACCTGGGCGAATTCAGCAAGGGTTACGGCCGTGGCGAAGGTCAATGGATGCTGCCGGTGGCCATTGCGGTCAACAGCCAGCAGCACGTACACGTCACCGACGAGCATCTGCACCGGATTACGGTGTTCGACCTGGACGGCAACCTGATTCGGCAATTCGGCGACATGGGCAGCGCAGCGGGTCAACTCAATGCCCCTTCCGGAATCGCCATCGCGCGGGACGATATCATCTATGTGGTGGAACAGCGCAATAACCGCGTGCAGCGATTCAACCGTGAAGGCGAACCTCTGGGGCATTGGGGCGAGGCCGGCAGCGGCCCAGGCCAGTTCAATATGCCGTGGGGCGTTGGACTGGACGGCAACGGCGACGTGTACGTTGCCGACTGGCGCAACGACCGGGTCCAACGGTTCACCGCCGACGGCCAGTTCGTCTCCGTCTACGGTTCGTCCGGCGCCGGCGATGGACAACTCAGCCGTCCCTTCAGCGTGTGCGTGGACTCTGACGGGTACGTTTACGTCTCCGACTGGGGCAACGAGCGCGTCCAGCTGTTCGATTCCAACGGCGGATTCGTCCAGTCGCTGCGGGGACAAGCCACCCTGTCCAAGTGGGCGCAGGACTTTATGTCCGTAAACCCTGATGAAAGCAACACCCGTGAAATGTCCAACCTGGTGCCGGAGTTGCCGCCTCATCTGGATACGCCGTATCTCATTTCATCGCAGATCGAACCCTACTTCTGGGGCCCGGTTTCAGTGCGACTTGACGCAGAAGAACGGCTGTACGTAACGGAATCCAACCGGCACCGCGTACAGATCTACCAGCGCCGGAAAGACTAGCCATCCGTTGGCCGCTACTGACCTGATAACCCAGATTCAGGCCGTCGTCGGAGGCGATTACGTAATCGACCATCCGGAAGACCTGCTGGTCTACGAATATGACGGTTCCGTCGACCGCTCGATGCCCCGGGCGGTCGTCCTGCCGGCCAACACCGAACAGGCCAGCCAGGTTATATCCCTCGCCTACGCGGCCGGCGTTGCCGTCGTGGGGCGCGGCAGCGCCACCGGACTCAGCGGCGGCGCCATCACGCCCCCGGACGGTTTGCAGATCGCCTTCCCCAGGATGAACCGCATCCTGAACGTCGACACCGCCAACCGCACTGCGCTGGTTGAGCCTGGTGTCATAAACCTGGATCTGGATATCCACGTTCGCAAGTTTGGGATGCGCTATGCCCCTGATCCTTCCAGCCAGCGGGCCTGCAGTCTGGGCGGCAACATCGCCGAAAACGCTGGCGGCCCCCATTGCCTCGCCTACGGCACCACCACCAACCACGTGATCGGCATGGAGGTCATCCTGGAGGACGGCCAGGTGGTCGAGTTGGGTGGCATGGCCCGCGAAACGGTCGGCTACGACCTACGCGGCGCATTCGTCGGCTCAGAGGGTACATTCGGCATCGCCACGAAAATCCTGGTGCGGCTGCTGCCCGTGCCGGAATCGGTGCGTACGTTCCTGGGCATATTTGCCGACATTGATTTGGCCTGCACCGCAGTGTCAGCAAATCGTGGGCCACGGGATCATCCCGGCCGCGCTGGAAATGATCGACGCATTGAGCATCAAAGCGGTGCAAAACGTCACCGACGCCGGTTATCCCAACGACGCCGGAGCCGTGCTGCTGATCGAACTGGAAGGGCTACACGAAGAGGTCGAAGAGCTTAGCCTCGAAGTAGAGTCCGCACTGTGGGACACCGGAGCCGCCGATGTCCGCATCGCCGAAGCCGACGACGAACGCGAGCGTCTCTGGGTTGGTCGCAAAACGGCGTTCGGCGCCTTTGGAACCATTGCCCCGAACTACTACCTGGTTGATGGCGTGGTTCCCCGAACTCGCCTCACGCAGATGCTCCGCAAGGTAACCAGCGTCAGCGAGCGATACGGCATCACCATCGCCAACGTCTTCCACGCCGGCGATGGCAATCTGCACCCCTGTATGCTATTCGACGCCCGCGACCCTGGCGTCATGGAAAACGCCATGGCCGCTGCCGCCGAATTGATGCAGGAGTGCGCCGCTCTGGGCGGAACGCTCAGCGGAGAACACGGCATCGGCCTGGAAAAAAAGGAATTCATGCCCCTCGTTTACACGGACGAGGATATGGCGGCGATGCAGCGCACCCGAAACGCCTTTGCGCCCGAAAACAGGCTGAACCCGGGCAAAATCTTCCCCGACGGCTCCTATTACCATCCCTCGCCACATCCGGCCAGCCACACCGCCGGATTGTACGCGTGAACACTGGCCGGCAGGCGCGCCCAAACTTGCCACCACTACTGGGGCTCGAACCAGCCCGGCCAACGCCCAAACCCGCTGCTGGGTGGTACCGACTCTCCCGTCGCACCTCAAACCTGCAATCCTGCATCCCTGGCTTTTCGATATGACGACCCCAACCGTCAGCACAGCCTCCGCCCAGCTTGCCGATCTCCTTGGCCCTGATGCCGTGGTGGCTGCAAATCAGTTGCGGCAATACGGGATCGGGACGCTGACGCCCGTCGCGGCGGTGCGGCCCATTGACCGCGGTGGCGTCGCTTCCGCAATGGCCTGGGCAAATCGAACCAACACCGCCGTCTATCCGTCGGGTGGGCGGACGCAAATCGATCTGGGCAACCCGGCCACCAAACCCGGCATCGCCCTTGACCTGACCAGACTCAATCACCTGGTGGATTTCCAGCCGGCCGATCTCACCATTACGGCGGAAGCGGGCATGACCATCGAGCAACTGCAATCGGTACTGGCGCAGGAAGGCAAGTACGTGCCCATCGCCGCACCCCTAGCTTCCCGTGCCACCATCGGCGGCACCCCTGGCCACCGGAACCAGCGGCCCCCTACGCTCAACCTACGGCCTGCCCCGCGACTGGCTGATCGGCATCAGCGTTGTGGACCCTCGGGGCGTCCAGACCAACGCCGGCGGCAAGGTGGTCAAAAACGTCACCGGCTACGACCTCAACCGTCTTTATACCGGTTCGCTGGGAACGCTGGCGGTCATCACCGAAGCCACCTTCAAGATTGCACCAGCCCCAGCGGAATGGTCGGCAATCGTTGGGGGATTCTCCGGCCTGGACACCACAGCCACCGCGTGCCAGAACCTGCAGGCGCAGCATTTCGCGCCGCTGGGCTTACACATCCTGAACCGATCCGCCGCGCAACGCCTGGCCGCCCTCGGCGATATTGAGCCAGCCGACTACATCGCCATCGCCATCATCGGTGGACGCCCATCATCCGTGCAGCGTCGCCAAAAGGAAACCGTGGCCCTGTGGAAGGACAACGCAGTCTTAATGCGGAACCTGAAGGGCGACGAAACCGTCGCATTGACTGCTGCATTAACCGATTTGCCCGCCAATCCCGACGCCCGGCCAACCATCTCCGTGCGGGTCAACTCGCAACCGGCGGGGTTGCGGGACATCCTGGGGATGGAGCTGCCCGTGGCTACCGCCTTGCCACCGCCGGGCGTTGTCGCCGACGTCGGTTTCGGCGGCGGCAGATTGCTGTGGTGGAATGATTGCTCCGACACCAATGCCCAGGCAATTGCGGAAGCGTTGCAAGGTATCCACGCAGCAGCGGTGGCCTCGGGCGGCAGCGCCGTCGTCGAACGCTGCCCAATCTCGGTGAAGCGGCGCCTTGACGTTTGGGGCCCGCTACCCTCCAGCATGACGGTGATGCGACGACTCAAAGCGCAATTCGACCCGGCTGGAATCCTCAATCCGGGTCGATTCATCGGAGGTCTGTGATGGCGGTAACCGGAGAACCGGACACACCGGTGGCTGAAACCGTAGACGACCACGGTCACGGCTACCCCTATGGCATCCCGTTCTTGGGTTCGCTCAACGACGGGCCGGGATTCGCCGGGCCCGACGCGCCGGCTGAACCCGATATGTACCGGTGCGTTCACTGCGGCCTGTGCCTCAGCGCCTGTCCCACCTACGTAGAAACGGGCCTTGAGGCAGAATCTCCCCGCGGGCGCATTGCCCTGATGAAAGCCGTCCACGAAGGTCGCACGGGCATCAGCGATCGTCTGGTGTCCCATTGGGACATGTGCCTCCAGTGCCGCGCCTGCGAGGCAGTGTGTCCGTCTGGGGTGCCGTACGGTCGCATCATGGAGCGTACCCGCGCGCAGGTTGCTGAGCATGGCCAACAGAGTGCCGAGCTGAACCGGCTATCTCGTCTGTTCCTGCGGGCCGCGCTACCGCACAACCGACGCCTGCGCCTCGCCGGCCACCTGATGCGCGCCTATCAACGCTCCGGTTTGCAGAAGCTGGTGCGAAAATCCGGTTTGTTGCGCTGGCTGCCCGGTGGTTTGGGCGATCTGGAAACGCAGATGCCGGTGATGGGCGCTCGTTTCTTTGGCGACAGCAACAAAACCTATCGCGCCGAGAGCGAGCGCCGCATGACCGTCGGACTGCTGTCCGGATGCGTCATGCCCTTGATGCAGGGCGAGGCGATGCGCGCCGCCGTCCGTGTGCTGCAGCGCAACGGATGCGACGTGGTGGTCCCGCCGGCGCAGGGGTGCTGCGGTGCGCTAAATTTGCACGCCGGCGACCTGGAGCTTGGGCGGCGCATGGCCCGCCGCAACATTGATGCTTTCCTCCAGGCCAACGTCGATGTCATTATCACTGCGTCGGCCGGCTGTGGCTCTGCGATGAAGGAATACGGCGACCTGTTGCAGGACGATCCGCACCACGTTGCCGCCGCCAACGAGTTCGCGGCAAAAACGCAGGATATAACCGAGTTTCTGGCCGCGTTGCCGCTTGACCCGCCGCAGGCGGAGTATCCCTCCCATGTAACGATGCAGGACCCGTGCCACCTGGCCCACGCGCAAAGAATTACCGCCGCGCCGCGTCAGGTTTTGCAGTGCATACCCGGCCTCACGCTCACCGAGATGCCTGAGTCTGCGTTGTGCTGCGGCTCCGCCGGCTTCTACTCGCTGATTCAGCGGGAGATGTCGGGGCGGCTGCAACGACGCAAGGTTAACAACGCGCTGGCTACCGAGGCGAATATCATCGCATCGGCCAACCCAGGCTGCATCTCTCAATTGGAACAGGGGTTGCGCAACGTCGGTTCGGACGTGCGCGTGCTGCACGTGGTGCAGGTGCTGGATGCGGCCTACCTGGCCGAGCAGCGCTGATGAGGCAGAACCAGCGGCGAGTCGTTGCGCCCGACCCGCCGTGATCAAAACCCGAACCTAACCGGCGTTATCCATCGCCATCGAACGCTGCGCCGCGCCGACGCTGGCGCCGAAGGCAACCTCGTATCCGGCGTCGGAGAGGATGACTTCCAGGGCAGATAGCACCGCCAGGACGCTGCGGTCTCTTGCGCCTTCGCCCATCATCCCAATGCGCCAGACTTTGCTGCGGAACTCGCCCAGGCCGCCGCTAACCTCAATGTTTCCACTCGTCGAGGAGGCGACGCCGTACCCCGGCATCATCGACGCCTTCGGGCACCTTCACCACGGTGATCGGATTCAACTGGTGCTCCGGGGACGCAGTCAACTCCAGCCCCATGGCCGTCAGTCCCGCCCGAAGGGCGCCTGCGACCCGCGCGTGGCGAGCGTGGCGTTCTTCAATACCCTCTTCCATCATCATGCGTAGCGATTCGCGAATCGCGTAGGTCATCGTGATGGGGCTGGTGTGATGGTAAGCGCGGGTCTGATTCCAGTAGTCCGCGATGTCCTTCAGGTTGAAGTAAAAACTCTGCACCCTGGTGGGCCGCTCGTTGATAATCTTGATCGCCCGTTCGCCAAAACTGATGGGAGCCAGACCCGGAGGCGCGCCCAGACACTTCTGGCTCGCGCTGTAACACACGTCGATATCCCAGTCATCGACGCGCACTTCGTGGCTTCCCAGCGATGTAACGGCATCAACGACGACCAGCGCGCCGTGGCGGTGGGCCAGCTCGATAGCGTCCAGCAGCGGCGACAATGCGCCGGTAGACGTTTCGGCATGCACCAGCCCGACCATGCGCGTGTTGGGGTTTGCCTTCAGGGCGTCCTCGAGACCGTTGAGGTCGGATGGTTGGCCCCACGGTGAATCGACCATGACCGTGTTCGCGCCGCACCGCTCGGTGATGTCAGCCAATCGGTCGCCGAAATATCCGTTGCGACACACGATGGCCGTGTCGCCGTGTTCCAGCACGTTGGCGCACGCGGTTTCCATGGCGCCGGTGCCAGTTGAGGAAATGGGGACGGTCATATAGTTTTCAGTGTGAAATACCCGTCTCAGCATTTCGCACACTTCGTCCATGACCTGGAAAAACTTGGGGTCGAGGTGCCCTATCACCGGCTGCGTCATCGCGCGCAACACACGCGGATGCACGGTGCATGGGCCCGCGCCCAACAACAATCGATTGGGTGCCTCGAACTCTGCTAGGTATGAATCGCTCACTCTATTCACCAATCTGTACCTGATTTATCCTGCCGCCCCCGCGAGGCCGACACCAATTTCAGTACCGTCGACTACAGTACCGCCGACGCGCCACCGTCAATGTTAATCGCCACACCACTGAGATAGCTGGCCCGATCTGAGGCCAGGAACGCGATCACGTCGCCGGCTTCTGCCCCTTCGCCGACTCGACCCAGCGGGACACCGCGTCCCTGGGCAAGCTGGGCGTAAAAATCGTTGACATCCAGGTCGGGCTCGGTCTCCAGACGGGCGTTGTAGCGCCGCTCGTGCTGCCCGCTCTTGATCAGGCCGATGCAAACCGTGTTCACCAGGATGTTGTCGCTGGCCAAATCCTTGGACAAACCCTTGGTGATGGCGATGCCGGCGGCGCGCGAGATGGACGTCGGCATCGAGTTGGCGCCCGGCGTGCGACCACCCAGGTTGGTTACGTTGATGATCCGGCCGCGCCAATCTTGCGCATTTCCGGAATCGATGCGCGCATCAGCCGTATCGCTCCCCAAACCTTCAGCTCGAAGTCGAACTCCCAGTCATCGTCGCTAACCTGCTCAAACCCTTTGGCCATCGAGGTGCCGGCGTTGTTGACCAAAATGTCCAGCCGGCCATATTTCTCGACGGCGGTGTTGACCACATCTGCGGCGGTGCCACGCTCGGTGACATCGGCTGAGATGCCCAATACCTCGCCCTCGGTGGCGGTTCGGATTTCGTCAGCCGCTGCATCCAGCACGTCCTGCCGACGGGCCACGATGATCACGTTGGCGCCTTCGCCGGCCATTCGCAGGGCCGCGGCTTTGCCGATGCCCTCGCTCCCGCCGGTAACGATTGCTACCTTGCCATCCAGTCCCATTTCCATGGCTTGCCTCCAGTTTTACCGCCCGGTGGTCGGCGACTCGCCGGGAGGCCGTATTTACCATAACCGCCGGCGATTATAGCACAGCGGCACGAACTGCCCTACTCACGGCGTTGTCCGTAACTGTTCACGTTTGAGGGGACGGGAACGGTTTGCGGTGGAGATTCCGTGCTTGGTTGCCCCTCCACAACACGCCGAATAGTCCGCAGATCCCCGCAAGTCTGAACAGTTACCGTTGTCCGCCCAACCCCCACGAGTCGTCATCTGAGCAGGAAACCAGCATCTCCAGCAATGCATTCTTTTCTACTTCCATAACGGTAAGCCCCCAATTGGCTTTGACAGCTATCCAGTCTCCGGCATACCGACACCAACCGCGCGTATCATCGGGGCGCCACTGGTCGGGCGGTTGCTTGCCCTTGGCACGGTTCAGCGTGGCTTTGGTAACCTGCAGACTGGCCGGATTGCTCATATCGTTGGCGTAAGCCCGTTTGCGTTCAGCATCCCACGACCAGCCACCGGCTTCGTGGGCGTGACCCAGAGGCACGTGGTGGTCGATGTCCACCTCGGAGGCGTCGGTGAAAATCTCTCCGCTCCACGGCCCCAGCCATTCACCCGACACGACACGGCAATCCTCTTTGCCGGCGAAATCTATCTCGGCCAAACTCTCCTCGATCAGCACCTCGGCCCTGGTATTCTGACAGTCGCGATCGTCGTCCACCCAATGCCGCCAATCGTCGCGTAGGTATCGGCTATCGCTACCTCTATTGGCGGTTGCCAAGCTATCCAGAACCATGATCGCCGACTCAACGTCCGCCGCGGGCGTTGGTCGGTATATCCCGATCGACGAGGGCTCCGTCGTCGCGTACGCCGAATTAACTACCGTGGCCAGTTCGTCGGCGACGCGGGCGGCTCCTTTTAGCGCCTCCGTGCCCGGGCCGCAAGCGGTCAGCACGAATGTAGCCGCCGCGATACACAACAGCGGAACCATCAGGCCTATTCGCATCCCAGGTGCCAACAAACTCCACAACCCCGCGCGGCGCCAGGTTCGATGTATGTCAGCCGGCAATCCCTTCCCGTTCGGCGATGGATGGCACGTCCTTGTCCCCGCGCCCGCTCAGGCACACCAGTATGATCTGGTCGGAAGGCAAATCGGCAGCCATCTGGCTCGCCCGGTAAATCGCGTGGGCCGATTCCAGCGCCGGAATTATGCCTTCGGTGCGGCACAGCAGGCGAAACCCTTCCAGCGCTTCTTCGTCGGTAACCGACACGTACTCGGCCCGGCCGGTATCCTTCAACCAACTGTGTTCGGGCCCAACTCCGGGATAGTCCAGACCTGCCGAGATGCTGTGCGCTTCCTGCACTTGGCCGTGCTCATCCTGCAGCAGGTAAGACATTGAGCCGTGTAGGACGCCGGGCCAGCCGGCCGTCAGAGTTGCAGCGTGGCGACCGGTGTCGACCCCGTCCCCGGCAGCCTCCACTCCAACCAACCGAACACCTTCATCGCCAATGAATTCGTAGAACGTGCCGATGGCATTGCTTCCGCCGCCCACGCAAGCCGCCACCACATCGGGCAACCGGCCCTCTGCGGCCAAAATCTGCTCGCGCGCTTCACGCCCGATTACCGACTGGAAATCCCGCACCAACATCGGATACGGGTGCGGGCCAACCACGCTGCCAATAAGATAGTGGGTGGTTTCCACGTTGGTTACCCAGTCCCGGATGGCCTCGTTGATCGCATCTTTCAGGGTCCGGGTTCCAGATTCAACACCAATAACCTCCGCCCCCAACAGCCGCATCCGATACACGTTGAGCGACTGGCGCACCGTGTCCTCCACACCCATGTACACGATGCACTGCAACCCCAGCATGGCGCAAACGGTGGCGGTTGCCACGCCGTGTTGGCCAGCTCCGGTTTCGGCGATGATTCGGCGCTTGCCCATGCGCTGCGCCAGCAAACACTGGCCGAGGGCATTGTTTATCTTGTGGGCTCCGGTGTGGGCCAGATCTTCCCGTTTCAGGTAGATTCTGGCACCGCCACAGTGCCGGGTCAGGTTTTCCGCATAATACAGCGCGGTGGGTCGGCCGGCGTAGTTGACCAGCAAACTGGTCAACTGCTCGGCGAAGCCGGCGTCATCCTGGGCCGCGCGATAAGCCAGCTCCAGCTCGGTGAGGGCGGCCATCACGGTTTCGGGGACAAACTTGCCGCCGAAATCCCCAAACCGGCCTCGATCGTCCGGAAGTCTCACTTGTGTATCAGTTGCCATCGAATTCGTAACCTCACGCCTGGCCGCTCGCCCGCGCATTTCGCACGAACCGGCCGATTTTGTCCGCATCCTTGTCGCCGTCGGTTTCCACTCCGCTGGACACATCCACTCCCCAGGGGCGCACCGATTCCACCGCGCCAGCCACGTTATCGGGCGTCAGACCGCCGGCAAGCAAAAACGCCCTGTGCTCGGCCAGCGCCGACGCCACTCGCCAATCGAATGACTGGCCGGTTCCCCCGTGCAGCCCAACGACTTCACTGTCCAGCGTAACTGTACAGCCAGCATCGGCGAACGCGCGAATCTGGCAGTCGAGGGCATGGATAGTTGTCTCGCCGGAGTCGGCCGGCACGTGCAGCACTTTGATGACCCCGGCCCGATGCTGCACTTCGCGGCAATAATCGATGCTTTCATCGCCGCACAACTGGGCGTAATCGATCCCCGATACCGCGATGGTTGCCAGCACTTCGTCCAACGGCTGGTCGCCGAACAAACCCACCGATTCGGGCGCGGTAGTCGTAGACTCACGCAGCCCATTGGCAATCAATCGCGCGTCGGAAGGCTCAATCCTACGACGCCGACCGGGGACGAACACCATGCCCACGTAATCGGCTCCGGCATCAGCGGCGGTCAGCGCGTCTTCCAGCCGACGCACCCCGCAGATTTTCACCATCGTCCTGAACTTTGACACCCTATCGACCCGTGGGCAGCGCAACGCCCGACAGGGCACGCACCTTGGCTCCGGTATCTTCCGCAGTCACCAACGCCTCGCCGACCAACACCGCATCGACTTGGAACGGCTCCAGCCGCGCCAGGTCGTCTGGCGTGCTGATGCCGCTTTCGCTCACGATAACCTTGCCGGCCGGGATGAACCGCGCCAGTTGTTCCGTCGTAGCCAGGTCCGTTACGAAGGTGTGCAGGTTGCGGTTGTTGATGCCAATGACTTCGGCGCCAGCATCTGCCGCGGTCGCAATCTCGTCGGCGTCGTGAGTCTCGACCAGGGGCGTCATACCCAGCGACTTTCCCAGGGCGATCAGTTCGGATAGTTGCGCTGCGGACAAAATATCAACAATGAGCAGGTAGGTATCAGCGCCAATCGCCCTCGCTTCGTAAACTTGGTACTCGTCAAAGATAAAATCCTTGCGCAACACCGGCAAATCTGCTGACGCTCCACTTTCCTTCACCGCCGTCAGATGCGCCGGTTCGCCCAGAAAATGGCTGTCGGGTGATGACTGAGATCGCCGACGCCCCGTTTTCGCGATACGTCTGCGCCAGGGAAACCGGGGCGAAGTCAGCGCGCAGCAGCCCTTTCGATGGCGATGCCTTTTTCACCTCGGCAATCAGGCTGATGCCGTCCTTGCGCAGCGCACCGGGGAAATCCAGCGCGGTTGGCCGCCTGGAGATCATATCGCGGAGCGCGGCCATGGGTGTGCTGGCAACCGACGCGGCCAATTCGTCACGTTTTTTGGCGACGATTTCGTCCAGTATGCTGGGCATCGTTTCAGTCTCCCTCAAGCTATTCGGCGAGGCGTTGGGTCATCTCGATCAGCGCTTCGAGCTTTTGCGCTGCTCTGCCATCGGCAATTGACGCCGCCGCCATTTGGATACCTTCCGCCAGCGACGCTGCTCCATCGCCGGCCACCAGAGCGGCGCCGGCGTTCAGGACAACAGCATCGCAGATGGGGCCACCCTCACCGGCCAGCAAACGACGCATGGTTGCGGCGTTCTGATCCGGGTCGCCTCCCTGCAAATCATCCGGGGTGGCATGGGGCAATCCCAACTGGCGCGGCTGCACGAGGTACGGTCTCAACTCGCCATCCAATACTTCCCAGCCGGTGGTATCGCTACCCAGCGACAGCTCGTCCATGCCGTCGTCGCTGTGGACGATAATGGCGTGGTGGGCTCCCAACAGCCGCAGCACTTCGGCCATCTTGCCGGCCACCTCCGGGTAGCCGACTCCGATCAATTGCGACGATACGCCGGCGGGATTCGTCATCGGCCCCAGGACGTTGAATACGGTCCGGATACCGATTTCCCGGCGCACCGGCCCCGCATATCGCATCGCGGGGTGAAACGCCGGCGCGAACATGAACCCGATGCCGATTTCGTTCAGGCACCTCTCCACCGCCTCGGGCGGCAATTCGATGCACACCCCAAGGGCTTCCAGGACATCCGCACTGCCGCACGCCCCTGACGCTGCCCGACCACCGTGCTTGGCCACCGTCAGGCCGGCGCCGGCAACCACAAACGCCGCCGCGGTCGAGATGTTGAACGTTCCCTTGAAATCTCCGCCGGTGCCGCAGGTATCCACAGCCGGGCCGACGATGTTAACCCGCAACGACTTCTCCCGCATCACGGTGGCAAAGCCGGCGATCTCTTCCGGCGTTTCGCCTTTGAGCGACAACGCGGTCAAATACGACCCCAGCTGCGCCGGCGTCGCTTCCCCTTCCATCACTTCGCGCATCACGGCCACCGCTTCGTCCATCGACAGCGATTGCCCGGCCACCGTATTTGTTATGGCTTCCCGAATCATCCCGACACCATAGTGCTAACCTGCTTTCCGCAATATGATAGCATGTCAGTTGACCACTCTACCCTACTGGCAGTCGCTTGCGATGCGTTCCCAAATGTGACAATAAAGGTCTCGTCATGCGCGTTGATGTTCACACCCATATCTGGCCGGACCGTATCGCCGATGCGGTTGCCGGCACATGGAATCCGACCTCGGTTTTGCTCCCATCGCGCCCAACACCGTTGCCGGCATCAAGGAGCACATGGAATCCTCCGGCGTGGACAAGTCCATCGTCCTGGGCGTAGCCATCCGTGCCGATCAGGTGCGCCGCGCCAACGACTGGCTCATTTCCGTTGCCGACGAATCCCTGGTGCCCTTCGGCGCGGTGCATCCCGACCTCACCGACAAGACGGCGGAAATCCGGCATCTGCGCGCCAACGGCGTGAAAGGCATCAAGATGCACCCGGTAATCAACGGATTTTACCCCGACGACCCGCAGTGGTTCCCCGTCTATGAGGAGTTGGGCGAAGACATGACCCTGGCCATTCATTCGGGGCGGCTGCCGAACTCCGCCGACCATACGCCGCTGTACGCCGCACCCCAGCGCATCATGAACATCGCGCAACGCTTTCCCAGGCTAAAAATCATCGCCCTGCATCTCGGCGGATTCTATATGCTTGACGAAGCTGAACGCGTGTTGCTGGGCCAGGAGAACATTCTGGTCGATACAACCTGGCCACCGTCGTTGCGTGAACTCACTGCCGACACATTGACCGCCATCATCAACAAACACGGCGCCCACAAAGTGTGCTTCGGCACCGATTACCCCCTTGCCGACATGGCGAGCGAATCAGAGTTCTTGGCGGCGCTTCCGCTGACCTCGCCGCAGGTGGAGGGCATCCTGGGAGAGAACGCCCGTAGATTCATCGGTCTCTAAGCGCGGGCGCCCGTCCTACGTCGCCAAACCCAACGCGTTGAGGATGAACGCATACTCTTCGGCTACTTCCTTGATGCGCTCGAACCGGCCCGACGCTCCAGCGTGGCCGGAATCCATGTGAATTTTCAGCAGCAGCGGGTTTTCGTCGGTGCGCATATCCCGCAGCTTGGCGACCCATTTGGCCGGCTCCCAGTAGGTTACGCGCGGGTCGCTGATGCCGCCGGTAACCAGCATGGCTGGGTACGCTTGCCGCCGCACGTTGTCATACGGGGAGTAAGTCCGTATGTAGCGGTAGTATTCGGCATCGTTGGGGTTGCCCCATTCGTTGTACTCCATGGTGGTCAGCGGCAGCGAATCATCCAGCATGGTGTTCAGAACATCGACGAACGGCACATGGGCCACCACGCAACCGAACAGGTCCGGCCTTTCGTTCACCACCGCGCCCATCAGCATCCCGCCGGCGCTGCCGCCCGCCGCCGCGATACGGCCCGCCGACGTATATCCCTGGGCAACCAGATGCTCGGCGCAGTCAATAAAGTCGTGGAAGGTATTTCGCTTTTTCAGCAACTTCCCGTTCTCGTACCAGTCCCACCCCATCTCCATCCCACCGCGTATGTGGGCGATGGCGAACACAAAACCACGGTCGACCAGACTAAGGGCAGTGATGCCGAAGCTGGCCTCCATGGTCAGGCCGTAACTCCCGTAGCCGTACAGATACAGCGGCGCGGAGCCGTCCACGGGTGTGCCCTTCAGCATCAGCAGGCTGATGGGAACCGACGTACCGTCCCGGGCAGTGGCCCAAATTCTACGGGTGTCGTATCGGTCGGCGTCGTAGCCGGAGGGAATCTCCTGCTGCTTCCGCAAAACCCGTTCCCGCGCGTCCATATCGTAGTCGTACACTGCCGCCGGCGTTTTCATTGACGTGTAGGAAAAGCGCAGCGACGTGGTATCGAACTCCCGGCCGCCACGAGGCGACATGGCAAAATCTTCCTCTTCAATCCCCGAGATGTAATGCACATCGTTGTCGCTCAGCCGCATTATCATCACCTGCGGCAGGCCATCCTGACGGCACGCCACCACCAGATGATCCCGGTAGGCGTCCAGATCCAGCAGGGGCCGGCCCGGCTCATGGGCCATAAACTCCGTCCAGTTGCCACGCCCGGGATTGGATATTGGCGCTGTCGCCAGCTGAAAATCTCGGGCGTCGTCGCCGTTGTGTCTGATAAAGAACCGGTCGCCGTGGTCGGCCAGGTCGTACTCGAAATCCACCGCCCGGGGTTCCACCAGCGTAAGTTTTGGCCTGCGGATCGTTGGCGTCCATAAACCGCCACTCGGTCATATTGTTGCCGCCCGCCACGACGTAGATGAAGCGGCCGCTGTTTGACTTGCCCAGCCCCACAAAAAACCGCGCGTCATCTTCGTGGTACACCAGCGCATCCTGCGCCGGGTCAGTGCCCAGCAGGTGCCGGTAAATGGTAACCGGCCGCTGGTGCTCGTCCAGCACCGAGTAGTAAAACGTGCGATTATCGTTGGCCCATTCAATGCTGTAGTACGTTCCGGGAATCGCATCCGGCAAGGTCTGCCCGGTTTCCAGATCAAGCAACCGGATGGTGTACTGCTCCGAGCCGTCGAAGTCCACACCGTATGCCGCCAGCTTGTGGTCGGGGCTGTTGCGAAACGCGCCAACCCGGGTGTAATCCCGACCCTCCGCCAACTGGTTCACGTCCAGCAGCACGGTTTCCTGGCCGTCGTCGCTGCCCTGGCGCCGGCAGTAGATCGGATATTGGCCGCCCTCCTCGAAGCGAACGTAGTAGTAATAGTCGCCTTCCTTTTCAGGGACGGTGTTGTCATCTTCCTTAATGCGACCGCGAATCTCCGCGTAGATAGCCTCCTGTAACGCTTCCAGTGGCTGCATAAATGCTTCGGTGAAGGCATTTTCGGCTCGCAGGTACTCCATCGTCTGCGGGTCCTCTTGCTCGCGGAGCCAAAACCAGGGGTCAGCCCGCTCGTCGCCGTGCGTGGTAATTGTGTGTGGGCGCTGGGGCGCGATTGGTTGGGTTGGTGCGTGTTCGGATGCGGTCACTGCGGTCTCCAAAATAGTATTGTCTGGTTATGTTTTCTGGTTCAGGTGAGTCATCGGGCGTCCGCGCGATCGCGAGAAACTAGGTTGTGTTGACATTTCACCGTAGCCAGATGAGAGCGGCGGTGAAATGCAGGAAGCCGAGGTATCTGGTGTCCAGCTTCTCAAACCGGGAGAAGATCCGGCCGATAGTGCTTCATCTGTGATGAAGCATTCCACCAGATGGCGCTCCCGGTACAGATGCGGTCATAGTCGGCGGGTTCCTTGCGGTTCGAGCGGGGCGGAATGACCGGCATCATACCAGTTCCAGGATGTGCTGGCGAAACTCTGGGCATCGTACCTTGTCGGCCAGTACGTGCTCGCCAGCATAACCGGCGATTTACCTCCTCACGCCTGAGTGATGTCGTGCTGTTGCCTCCGGTCAGTATGAATCGCAAGGGGTTGCCCAAGCTGTCCACGCTCACGTGAATCTTGGTGCTGAACCGCCGCGCTCGGCCCAGGGCTGGGGCCGTCTGGCCACCTTTTGGGGGGAGCTCCCGCGCGCAAGGGTGCGCCCGGACCACCGTGCTGTCGATGATCAGGTATTCCAGATCCGCGTCGTCGGAAGCAATGTTGATGCATTGTGCCCAGACGCCTTGGTCAGTCCAACGGGCGAATCGTTTGTAGACGCTGTTCAGTTCCCGTATTCGGCTGGCAGCAGTCGCCATTGGGCCCAGAGCGGTTAATCCATAAGACGGCCTCGACGAAACGCCGGCAATCCGTTCCTGGCGACGTACAGGCCGGTGCAGCCACGCAAGAAATCGAGAACCCTGACCCACTGTTCTGGTGATAATCTGATGTTTGACATACGGCCATTATAATGAAATGTCAACAGAACCTAGCCATCCTCGACCGGTTCTGCTACCACCGATTCCGCCGCCGAGATTATGGCGTCCATCTCGTCAACGACGTAGCGTCGGCAGGTGCCGGGCCTTAGCGTGGCAATGATGGTTCCAAACCAGCCGCCATACTCTGTAGTAATGGTCAGATGCCCCCGGCCGAAATCTTCGGACGAATACCCAGGGTCGGCGTCGTCGCAGACTCGCAGGTTGTAACGGTATTCCACCCAGAAGCCCGGCCCGGTGGTGCGGTGAGTCAGCCGATGCGGGCGCGCCACTTGAGTAACCACGCTGGTGAAGCGGTCTCGGGCGATTTGCAACTGAATGCGGTGGCCCGGCGCCAGCTCACTGCCATCGGGCAAGTCGGCTTGCCGGTACCGTTCGGAGTGCGCCGGTCGGCTGGGAAAATCCACCAGCGGGGCCCATGCTTCTTCGGGCGGGCACGGTAAAATCCGGGCGTGCTCAAAAACCGGCATTGTTCCCTGCAACCATTCTCACGCGATACCAGTTTGATCGGTCATTGCGAGCGTACCGTGGCAATCTCGTTCCGCCGGAAATACTTTGCCACACGCGGGCGCGCTGCTCCGCCGGGATTGCCACGTCGCTACGCTCCTCGCAATGACAAAGGGCCAGGTTGGTTTGAAAAACTCGGTACACGTGAGGGCAACCATTCTCATGCGTACCCACCCTGTCATTGCGAGCGTAGCGTGGCAATCTCGTCGCCGTAGTAACGGCGGTTCGCCAACATTTGTTCAACCTCATCGAGATTGCCACGTCGCTATGCTCCTCGCAATGAAAGATCAGAGTAGGCACGCGTGAGGGCAATCATTCGGTTGACCCGCAAACGAATTTGTGCAATTGTATCGCACCGCACTGCAAAAGCGGCAGGATGTGGAACTATGCCTGACGGAGCGCTGGCTGGCCTGAAGGTCCTCGATTTCACCCACTATATCGCCGGCCCCTATTGCACCAAACTTCTGGCCGATTTCGGCGCGGACGTTATCAAGATCGAACCGCCCGGCGGAGACGGCGCGCGCCAGATTGGCCCGTTCCCAGGCGATGTCTGCCATCCAGAAAAGAGCGGACTGTTCCTGCATCTGAACACCAACAAGCGCAGCATCGCCGTTGACCTGAAAAACAACGCCGCGTCGGACATCGTCACCGGACTGGCCCGATGGGCGGACATCGTCGTGGAAAACTTCCGGCCCGGCGTCGCCGACCGCCTTGGCATTTCATACGCCCAGTTGAGCCAGGTTAATCCCGACCTCATCTACACCAGCATCTCAAACTTTGGGCAAACTGGGCCGTACCGCGATTATCAAGGCTCCGAAATCGTTTTCTATGGCATGGGCGGAGAGATGCACTCCACCGGACTCGCGGATCGCGAACCGCTCAAGCTGGGCGGCAACGTTGGACTCTACCAGGCAGGAGCGGTGGCTGCAGTTGCCACCATGGGGGCTAGTCTGGTCGGTTCCTTCGGGCTCGACCCGGACGACGAACCGCCCGGGCAACACATCGACGTTTCCATCCTGGAAACCCAGTTGGGTTCCGTCGACCGCCGCCAAAGCGCCCTGCTTGCCCATCAATACACTGGCGAAATCAGCCACCGGCCGGCGTCGGGCGGCTCCGGCGGGTATCCTAACGCGGTTTATCCGTGTGCCGACGGCTACCTGCAAATCAACGGCAGCCGAATGTACTTCCCGCGGGCCGTGGCGATGCTGGGCAACCCGCCAGAGTTGACTACGGAACGTTGGAAAGACCCCACCAGCCAGGGCGACCCGGCAATGCAGGACGAGTTCGAATCCGAACACTTTCTGCCCTGGATACTGGAGCGCAACCGCGCCGAAGCCTGGCAAGCCGCGCAGGCCAGCCGGGTCCTGTCCGGCCCAATCAACACCATGGCCGACCTGGATGTTGATCCATCCTTCAACGGGCGCGGGGCCTTCGCAGCCGCCGATCACCCGGTGGCGGGCAAACCTGCGCTACCCCGGTCGTCCCTTCATAATGTCCAAATCGCCGTGGCAACTGCGAAATCCCGCCCCACTGCTGGGGCAGCACACACGCGAGATACTGGGCGAGCTGGAATTTCACCAGACCCGCATTGATGACCTCCTCAGTGCTGGAGTGGTAATTAGCGCCGAGTGGCCGGACGAGTAGGGTAGCAATGGCTCGGCTGCCGCTGGCGGGCTTGCGCGTACTGGAAATCACCGTGGTTTGGGCCGGCCCCTTTTGCGGTTCATTCCTGGCCGATCTGGGCGCTGAAGTCATCCGCGTCGAATCTACCAACACGTTCGTGCCGCTGACCAGGGGCGCCGCGCCGCATCCGCCCCAGGCCGTCATCGACAACCTGCCGCTCTACTCGGGAGGGCTTCCCGGACGCGTGCCCGGCGATCGCCCCTTCAACCGGTCGCCCATGTTCAACTCCCACGCCCGCAACAAACGCAGCATGACGGTGAACCTGCTGGAGCCCGGCGGACGGGAAGTCTTTGACCGCCTGGTCGCCGTCAGCGATGTGCTCATCGAGAACAACCCCACCGAGACCATGGAGAAGCTGGGGATCTCCTACGAATCCCTGAAAGCCGTCAAAGACGATTTCATCATGCTGCGGATGCCGGCCTACGGCAGCACCGGCCCGTACCGCGACTTCCGCGCTCACGGTGTCCACATCGAAGGTGTGGTAGGCCACACCCAGTTGCGCGGTTATGCCGACACCGACCCGTCTTACAACACCACTGTGCTGGTGTCGGACGCCGCCGCCGGTGTCCAGGGGGCGTTTGCCGTCCTGGCCGCCCTGCGCCACCGCAAACGCACCGGAGAAGGCCAACTGGGTGGAACTCGGCCAGGCGGAGAACTTCCTCCCCTATCTGGGAGAATACTACCTGGACTACGCGATGAACGGGCGCACCCACGGGCCGCTGGGCAACCGCCATCCCACTGCACTTCAGAACTGCTACCCGTGTGCCGGTGATGACCGATGGCTGGTCATCACGGTTTATGATCATCAGCAATGGCTGGCGCTGTGCGACGTTATCGGAGCGCCCCAGCTGGCATCAGATACGAGCCTGGCGGATGCACCCGCGCGGGCGGCCCGCCAGGACGAAATCGACCAACGCATCGCCGCCTGGACACGCACCAAAAACCCCACCGAGGCAATGAACATTCTGCAGGAAGCCGGTGTGCCGGCTGGGGCAGTGCTGAATCAGGCGGACGCGTTCGCCGATCCCCACATACAGAGTCGGGAGTTTTTCAGGGAAGCCTACCAGGCCGACTGTGGCACACACCTGTACCCAGGCCCGCTCTACCGGATGTCGGATACCCCGCTGGGCATTCGCCGGGGGCCGGCGATGCTCGGCCAGGACAACGAGTACGTATATCGCGACCTGCTCGGTTACAGCGCCTCCGAATACGCCACCCTGGAAGCATCGGGGCACATTGGCACCGACTACGCTCCGGGCGTCGGCGAAGCCTGAGCCTATCGGCTCGGGCGCGGCGCCTACCTCTCGCAGCAGGGTCTTTCGATTGCCCCCTAGTAGTCCATCAGTTTTGGATTGATGGATATAAAGACTTCAATTTTAATGCGAGCGTCTGCGGTGGTAAAGAGCCAGTCTACTTTTATGGCCTCTTGATTGCGCCGGTCCTGCCACGCTGCGGCCTCCCTTCCCGCCGCAGCGTTCTTTGATCCGGAATGCGACGGTCCAGGCTTGCGGGACATCACACCCCGATTTCAATCTCGGCCATATCCAGCCAACTGCCATGCTTGGGCTTGTAGTGAATCTCCAGCCGTCCGCGATGCGCCGGGCCTCGGCAGGTTCAAAGGACTCATACAATGAACTGGGGGTGATGAGTGTTCAGATTGTCCATCACCAGCACGATACGGTCTTGTCCGTGGTAGTCCTCGTCCCACCAGTTGCTTGACAACCTGCGCCCAATCGACTTTGGTACGCCGGTCCGTCACTTCCACCGGCGCCACCCTCCAGCGGTGCGAACAAACTGAAATGACCGTTGCTCCTACTGCTCACTCGTTGCGTTCGTATTCGTAATCGTAGGAGCCCACCGCCCCAGGCTGGGCCGGACGACGGCTGGCGCTCTCTTTTCACCTGCTGCTTGCTGGTCTCATTCCAGCAGACCAGGACCTCGTTGTCCGCATACTGGCGCTGATAGACTCCAGCACGTCCTCCATGGCGCAACAACTCGGCGCGCCTTGCGGAGGGATGCACCAACACTCTTTCAGCCAAGGCTTAGTTGGTTTTTTTCAGCGTCTGGCGCACCGTCTCAGAGCTGATGCTCTCTACCTACTATCTCCCTTTCACCAGTCCATTGCCAGCAATTGCAGCGTCCAACTGGCCCGCCCCCTTGGGCGGTTCCCGCAGGCCAGGGCAATCAAGTGGGCTTCCCCTGACCGTCCAGCCGCTTCCGCCTGCGGTTCATTCTGCTCCTTGCGCCCAAAGCCCGTTCCAACCCTCCTCCACACAGCGGCGGCGTACCCGCTCCACCGTCGCACGGCCAACCTGGAGGGACCGGGCATGTCTCATCCTTCATAGCTCCTCTTGCGCCTCGTCTGCCCAACAGCAGGATGCGGGCATGGGTCTGCTTGTACGCTGCAGAACGCCCCTTGGAAACCATTGCCTCATTCCTCCCGCTCCTCCGCACTCAGCTTGACCCCGGTACTTCTTCTCCATCACCCCACTCCCCTCACCTGCTTCTTTAACCCCTTTCTTTCTACCTATTATCCATCAGTCCAACTCTGCTCGACTACTAGGGTCATTGCGAGCGTAGCGCGGCAATCTCGTAGCCGTATCGACCAACGCTGTCGCCAGCTCACCCTTGACCCCTACGTTCCGATGATCGAAAGGCCCTGCTCTCGCCGCCTTTTTCCTCTACAAAACCGGGCGCAGATGTTAGGATATGGCCATCTCCGGCTCTTACAAAAGGGCCCCAACAACCTATCCCAACGACGTATCTCAGCGAGGTAAGGCAATGGCTACCAAACGAATCGGATTGCACGCCGGCGCTCCCAGCGCTGAAGCATCTCTGGACCTCATGCGGCGCGCCGAAGCCGCCGGCATCAATGCCACCTGGCTCACCACCGGCGGAACCGGACTCGACGCTCTGACGCTCTTCGCGGCCTCTTCCGTGCAAACGGATAACATCCTCTACGGAACCTCTATCGTCCCCACGTATCCGAGACATCCCATCGTCGTGGCCCAGCAGGTGCAGGTCATCGACCAGTTGGCGCCGGGCCGGCTGCGTCTTGGCCTGGGCCCCAGCCACCGCCCCAGCATGCGCTCAATGTTCGGGTTCAATCTGCGCGCACCGTTGACCAACTTGCGCGAATATCTGCAAATCCTGCGGGACCTGCTGCATACTGGCTCGGTCGATTTCGACGGCCAGGAGTATACCGCCCACGCCAGCATCCCGGCGCCGGTGGACGTTCCAGTGATGGCCTCGGCCCTGCAGGAAGGCTCATTTGAGCTTTGCGGCGAGCTGGCCGACGGAGCCATCAGTTGGGTATCGCCGGCGGTTTATCTGCGCGACAAGGCCCTGCCGGCCATGCGCCGGGGCTCCGACCAGGCCGGACGCTGAAACTCCGCCGCTGATCGCCCACGCGCCGGTTTGCATCAGCGACGACGAAGGCGCCATTCGTCTGGCTGTGCAGCAGCAGCTGTCCAACTACCCGCGCATGCCTTTCTACCAACGGATGTGGGCTGCCGCCGGCTATCCGGAGGCGGCAGAGGAAACCTGGAGCGACGCCATGATCGCCGCCACCGTTTTGACCGGAGATGACGACGCCGTGGGCGAACGCATGGCGGCAATGCTGGATATGGGCATGACCGAATTGCTGGTAACGCCGGTTCTCGCCGGGGATGATCCGGAGGGGGCGATGGAGCGCACCATCTCGCTACTTGGCAAGGTCGCCCAATCCCTCTAACCGGACACCGACTGTCCATCACTCCGGAGTGACCAACATGAAGCTCGGCCTGTTCAACATGCCCCTGCATCCGCCGGGTCGGCTCCACGCCGATACCTACGACGAAGACCTGGAGTTGATGGCCTTTGCCGATGAGCTGGGCTATTCCGAGGCGTGGATTGGCGAACATTTCACCACTGAGTGGGAAAATATGCCGGCCCCCGACCTGTTTATATCGCGGGCGTTGGGGGTTACGAAGAACCTGATTATGGGAACCGGGGTATCCCTGCTCGCTTTCCACGATCCGGTGATGATTGCCCACCGCATGGCGATGCTGGACCACCTGGCCAGGGGGCGTTTCTTCTTCGGCATCGGCTCGGGCGGTGTGCCCACCGACTCGGAGATGTTCGGATCAACCCGAGAATCGGGCCAGCAGCGCAGCAAAATGCGCGAGGCCGCCGAACTCATTGTCAAGATGTGGACCAGCGATGACCCAGCAGGCTTCCATTTCCAGGGAGAGCATTACGACGTTAAGGTGCCCGCATCGCGCCCCGAGATGGGCCTGGCCTACCATATGCGTCCCTTTCAGAAACCCTACCCGCCCATCGCCGTCGCGGGAAGCAGCCCATTATCGCCCACTCTCGAAGTCGCCGGCGAGATGGGATGGTGGCCCATGAGCACCCTGTTTCTGCATCACACCCACCTGCCCAACCATTGGGACGCCTACACTCGCGGCGCTCAAACCGGCGGCCGTTCCGTGTCCAGGTCGCAGTGGCGCATTGCCCGTGAAGTCTACGTGGCGGACTCAACTGAGCAGGCGGTGCAAGAGGTGATGTCCGGTCCGCCGGCCACCACGTTCAACAAGTACTTCATTCCGTTGCTGGGCCACGGCCAGCGGGGACTCGACGGCATCAAAACCAGCCCCGACCTGCCGGATTCCGCCCTGACGCCCGAGTACATGCTGAACAATTTCTGGATAGTTGGCGACCCAGACGAGTGCGCCCGCCAGATCCGACAGCTGTACGAGGACACCGGCGGCTTCGGCACGCTGCTAGTCCTTTGCCACGACTGGGGAGCCGACCGCGCCAGGGGCCTGCGCTCGCTGGAACTCCTGGCTAAAGCAACTCTGCCACAATTGGACGACCTCACGGCGGTTTGAAGAACCCGAAGATTAGCCAACCCAACCCAACCCAACCCACACCGTACTCGGCAGGAGGCCACCATGTTCATCGCAACCAACCGCATCCAGGTAAAAACCGGTTACGGGGACACGCTCGAAAGTATGTTCAAGGCCCGCGGATCCGTGCAGGATCATCCCGGCTTCATCAGCTTCGAGCTCTGGAAGATGACCAAAACCCCAGACCACGAGGATTTCCTCGTCGTAACCCACTGGGAGAACGAGGAACACCATCAGACCTGGGTGAAAAGTGATGCGTTCCGCTCGGCCCACGCCGGCGGCCCGCCCGATTTCCTGCTGGGCCCGGGCGAGTTCCACACCTACGACGTGGTGCACCGCCTGGAAGCCTCGGGCGTGGCGGCGGCGGACTGAGCAGAAAGCGAAAGGCAAGAGGAGCGGCATCATGACATCCGGTTTGAGCGCTCGAATCGCTCCCGACGATGCTTTTGTGCTTGACCCGAAGCATTTGGGTATCGCGGCCATGGGACGCGACTTGGAAAAGCTGTTTTCGGATTTTTGTCGCTACAACCGGGAAAGTGCTTGGCAATTCGAGCTCAGCCCGGACGGAACGATAATTGCGATGCCACCAGTAAATCACCCCGGCGACGCTCACGAAAGCGCTTTGTTTCTTCAGTTAGGAGTGTGGGCAATCGGGTTTGGCGGTCATACTCGCAATTCCAACGCGGCGTTTCGGATGCCCAACGGCGGCCTTCTGGCGCCAGATGCCTCATGGACGTCCCCTGAGCGGTGGGCAACTCATCCGCATCCGTCCGGGGAACCCAACCTGTTTTGTCCCGACTTCGTGGTGGAGATTCGCTCCGGTTCAGACAACATCGCGCCCCTCCAGGCCAAAATGCAGCTCTACCTGAACAATGGCGCGCGCTTGGGCTGGTTAATCGACCCGCAGAACCGACGGGTGCACGTCTACCGAGAAGATGAGGAAGAACCGGAAGTGCTGGAAGACCCGGAAACAGTTTCCGGAGAGGAAGTGCTGCCCCGGTTCACCTTTGAAATCGCTCGCTGGATTTTCAACATAACCTGACATGGCAAGGCTGCCGCTCAAAAAGGAAAAAGGCCCCAGCGTTGCTGGGGCCTTTTAGTTACGACTTTGGTAGCGGGGGTTGGACTCGAACCAACGACCTTCGGGTTATGAGCCCGACGAGCTGCCACTGCTCCACCCCGCAGAGATGAAGCCAACTGAACAGGAAGTTTGAACTTGATCTATAAACGATCCGAACCGAGCCAAGAGATTTTGAAGCTCTTAGCGTGGGTCAAATCGCTCGACTGGTTAGTACCGGTTTGCTGAAGCTGTTACCAGCCTTACACATCCGGCCTATCAAGCAGCTAGTCTCGCTGCTGTCTTACCCCTGCCGAAGCAGGGAGGGAGGCCTAATCTTGGGGGATGCTTCGCGCTTAGATGCCTTCAGCGCTTATCGCTGCCAAACATGGCTACCCAGCGCTGCTCCTGGCGGAACAACTGGACACCATAGGTTTGTCCTTCCCGTCCTCTCGTACTAGGGAAAGGTTCCCTCAAGCTCCTACGCCCCGGCGGATAGAGACGAACTGTCTCACGACGTTCTGAACCAACTCACTTAACCCTTATCGCGAACGCCGAACCCTTGGGACCTCCTACAGCCAGGATGGGACGAGGCGACATCGAGGTGCCAAACCTCGCCGTCGATGTGAACTCTTGGCGAGATAAGCCTGTTATCCCCGGGGTAGCTTTTATCCGATAAGCCACGGCCCTTCCACACGGTGCCGTAGGATCACTTTGCCCGACTTTCGTCCCTGCTCGACTTGTAGGTCTTGCAGTCAAGCCCCCTTATGCCAATGCGTTCTATGGACGATTTCCATCCGTCCTGAGGGGACCTTTGGGCGCCTCCGTTACTTTTTAGGAGGCAACCGCCCCAGTTAAACTGCCCACCAGGCATTGTCCCCGCAATTGCAGGTTAGAACCAAAAACTGACAAGGGTGGTATTTCAACGATGGCTCCACCCCGACTGGCGTCGGGGCTTCTCAGCCTCCCACCTATCCTACACATGACAGCTCCCAGCCCATACCAGGCTACAGTAAGCTCCACGGGGTCTTTTTGTCCTGCCGCAGGTCGCCCCTCGGCTTCACGGCACCGTAATTTCACCGAGCCCTCCGTCGAGACAATGGCCAAGTCGTTCAACCATTCATGCGGGTCGGAACTTACCCGACAAGGGACTTCGCTACCTTAGGCATTTTGTTACTCCTCCACAATCCGTTGCAAGGTGCGGAGGGGGCCGACCATTTCTGCCGACCTCTGCATGTCGCCATGCAGATCGGACCATCTCTTATCCCATGCTCCGTAAGGGATTCCGGCGTATGGTCTCTGAGGACTCCTGACTTCGGCACACGTTGGTTACATCCAAGGATTCGATAACCCGCTCCCTTCGACCCAGCACTTGTAGCTAGGTAAAGGTAATGGGAGCGGGATCTACTCCAAAAATGTTTCCAAACACATACCTCCGATCAGGCCTTTCCTGCTGATTGTCCGCACTGGACACATTGTTACCAGCCTTACCTCATGGTGAGGTTGGTAGTGCCAGATACTCGGAGTTCCCAGCATATAGCCGGATTTTACAACGGCCTCAAGTGCCACCTTCCTCTTGGTTTACCCAAGTCGTAGTGACTCTCTGGTTGACCGTTAGAGTTACGGCCGCCGTTCACCGGGGCTTCAGTTCGCAGCTTGCACCGCTCCCCTTAACCTTCCGGCACTGGGCAGGCGTCAGCCTGTATACGTAGGGTTTCCCCTTAGCACAGACCTGTGTTTTTGTTAAACAGTCGCCCGGCCTTCTTATCTGCGCCCCCAGAGCGCTCCACCAGCTAGTGGCTTCACCCCCCAGGGGGCCCTTTCTCCCAAAGTTACAGGGCTCTTTTGTCTAGTTCCTTAACGGAGGTTATCTCGAACGCCTCGGGACTTTTATCCCAGCCCACCAGTGGCGGTTTGCGGTACGGTCGCCACAGTTCCATAACCACGAAGCTTTTCTGGTCGGTTTGGCTTCAACAGGATTTCGTAACCCTAAGGTCCGATCTCCTCAACCCTCAGCTTTGCGCCGGAGTGGATTTGCCTGCTCCAGCTCGCCTACGGAAAAGGACACACCATGTCCAATGGGCATGCCCTGCCTAGCCTCCCGCATCCCTCCTTGGTTTTAAAGCGAAAAAATGGCGGTGCAGGAATATTAACCTGCTGTCCATCGCCTTCGGCTCTTGCCTACGGCTTAGGACCGACTAACCCTACGCCGATAAACGTTGCGTAGGAAACCTTGGGCTTTCGGCGTCAGGGATTTTCACCCTGATTTACGCTACTCATTCCGGGATTCTCACTTCCCCGCGCTCCAGCAAGCCTCACGACTCACCTTCGTCGCCCGAGGAACGCTCCCCTACCACGCCCAGGCGTCAACAAAGACTCCGGACCGGCCATCACCGGCTCGCCTTGCGGCTTCCCGGTGCGGGCTGGACCATTGTCTTTGCATCCTGAACATCCACGGCTTCGGCGGCAGACTTAAGCCCCGTTACATTTTCGGCGCCGGACCCCTCGACCAGTGAGCTATTACGCACTCTTTAAAGGGTGGCTGCTTCTAAGCCAACCTCCTGGTTGTCTGGGGAACCCAACTTCCTTTCCCACTTAGTCTGCACTTGGGGGCCTTAGCCGGTGGTCTGGGCTGTTTCCCTTTCGACAATCGCACTTATCTGTGACTGTCTCACTCCCGGGCATCGGATAAACGGCATTGGTGGTTTGATTGGGTTTGGTAAGCTCACGCCCCCTAGCCCATTCAGTGCCCTACCTCCGTCCACCTAACCCGAGGCTGCACCTAAATGCATTTCGGGGAGAACCAGCTATATCCGAGTTCGATTGGCATTTCACCTCTACCCACAGCTCATCCCAAGCTTTTGTACTAGCCACGAGTTCGGTCCTCCAGTCCGTTTTATCGAACCTTCAACCTGGCCATGGGTAGCTCACTCGGTTTCGGGTCTAATACATGGAACTAATCGCCCTATTCAGACTCGCTTTCGCTGCGGCTCCGGAACTACAGTTCCTTAACCTCGCTCCACACATTAAGTCCCCGGATCATTCTTCAATAGGCACGCCGCCATCCCGACGAATCGGGACTACGACCTTCTGTAAGCTTACGGTTTCAGATCTATTTCACTCCCCGCTAGGGGTTCTTTTCACCTTTCCCTCACGGTACTGGTACGCTATCGGTGACCAAGGGTATTTAGCCTTGGAGGGTGGTCCCCCCGGATTCCCACAAGGTTTCCCGTGCCCCGTGGTACTCAGGTAACGCGCCAGGAGTCCGGTCCCTTTCGCCTACGGGGCTTTCACCCTCTATGGCGGCCCTTCCCAGGTTCCTTCGACTAGAGACTGGATTTGTAACTCCTCTGGACCTTATGAGGCGGTCCAAGGCGGTCCCTACAACCCCGGTGCGACATAGGCCCTCATGCCGTTAGGTCGCACTGGTTTAGGCTGTTCCCCGTTCGTTCGCCACTACTAGGGGAATCTCGGTTGATTTATTTTCCTCGGGGTACTTAGATGTTTCAGTTCCCCCACTTACCCCCCGATAAATCGGGTTGACCGACTCAACACCGGTCAAGGTTTCCCCATTCGGGTATCCCCGGCTATGCCCGCTAGACGGCTCACCGAGGCTTAACGCAGCCTTGCCGCGCCCTTCATCGGCCCTTGGTCCCAAGGCATCCACCGTAAGCTCTTAATAACTTGACCCACGCAAGGAACTTCAAACCTTCCGGTACCTCGGCCCCATCGGCCGAGCCCGGACTTTAATTTGCGCCCGGGACGCTACGGTCAACGCCCGGACACACCTGAAGTATTTAGCAGGATTTATTCAGGTCGCGTATTCTCTTTTTAAGGTGCGGGCAAGAAGAAACGGTCCGGGCTCACCCCAAACCGCTGTCCAGGTATCCCTTTGAGGGTGCTTGCCTATGTCAGGTGTTCGTTACCATCAATATGGATGCCTCACCTCTTGCAGACAAGGATTGTATACACCACTTTAGCCCTAGTCAAGGGGCTAACTGCCCCAATTCCCAGAATCCGACCGATCTACCGGCCCATTGGATTCGTTCACCGATTCGTTAGCCAAGGGGAAATCCGGCTTTTCGGGGCATTTCAGGTGGAAGACGGTCGCCCTCAGAAAACGTGGAAGGCAGGCTCCTGTCCCAGGAGCAATTGGCCGCCGTCCGCCATTGTCGTCTGCCTTACGAAAGCATGGGCTGCCACGCTGTGTGCGTCCCGGAAGTACCGGTCGAGGGGCGAGGCCGAATAGATTGAGCTGGCCCCTGCCGCCGAGTGCGCCCGGTCCACCGCCTGCACGGAGGCAGTTACTGCGTGGGTGCAGGCAAGACGCATGCTGGCCCGGAGCTCCAGGGGCAGTTCCTCGCCAGCCATGACTTTCTCCCACGTACGGGCGGTGGTGTCATAGAGATAGGCTCGGGCCGAGCCGGCCAGAGCTTCAACCGTTCCCAGGTCGGCCTGCTTGTCTTGGGCGCCGGCCACGGGGCGCTGGTTCCGCCGGTCAACTTTGCCCCCGAAAAGCTCCACCAGAGAGTCCACCGCGCCGCGAGCGGCGCCAAGGGCCACCGCCGAGAGCATGGGGACATTGAAGGCCGGATAGGCATAGCGGCGATCGGGGAGCAGGGACGGTTCCACCAATGAGTGGCGCTTCACGTAGTTGTCGGCCACGAATACGTCCTTGATGGCGTAGTCGGTGCTGCCGGTCCCCCGCAGGCCGGACGTGTACCAGGTGTCGAGGATGGCGCAGTCGGACGCGGGCAGGTGGAAGGCGCGCCACTGGGGCACACCGTTCTCGTCGGTGATGGGGCCGTTATCATCGTGGAGCCAAGCCGCTGTGGGCAGCCATGTGGCGTGGTGGCAGCCGCTGCCGAAGGGCCACTGCCCGGTGAGTCTCCAGCCGCCCTCAACACGCAGGGCCCGCCCGTGGGGCACCAGCGTCCCAGCAATAAACCGTGGGCTGGATCTGGCCCGGAGTTACGTCGACGAAGATCTCCCGGCGAACCTGGTCGGGCACGATGCGCACCGTCCAGAAGGAGGCGGTGGCGATGATCATGGTCACCAGCCCACCGAGGGGCTGGCCGTGGACAGTGTCTCTATGACCCTGGCGGCGGTGACGGGGTCGGTGCCAAGTCCGCCGTGTTCAGGCCCGGTCAGCAGGTGGAAGAAGCCTGCGCCCGCCAGCTTGTCGGCCAGCCAGTCCGGGACTCGGCGGGCCTCGTCAATGGCGTCGGCGGCGCTGCGGATTTCTGGCAACATGCCCTCGGCGACGGCCAGCAGGTCGCGGGAGGCAGCAGTATCGGGGCGTTCCCTGGTCGTGCTCATTGCTGCCTCCTGCGACAGATTGGTGAAAAAGGGGCTGGCGCTGCCTCTTTCGCGTTGTAGGGCGGGCAGCCAGAGGGAGCCCCTGCGATTGATAGGGGTAGCTGCTCTACCGTCCCTTGAAGACCGCCGGGCGTTTTTCAAGGAAGGCTTGCACCGCCTCCTTGTGATCCTCGGTCTTGCGGGCCTGGGCCTGGGCCACGTGGGCCAGGTCGAGACTCTCCTCGAAGTTCATGTCCAGGCTGCGGTGTACCAGGTACTTGATCAATGCGTGGGACTGGGTTGGTCCCTTGGCCAGGCGAGTGGCCAGGTCCATGGCCGCCTTCATCATCTCACCGTCTGGCACCACCTGGCTGGCGATGCCCAGCCGGTAGGCCTCGTTGCCATCGATGCGGTCGCCGGTGTATTGGAGGAGCAGGGTGTTGCTCATGCCGATGAGCCGGGGTAGCTGCCAGCAGGATCCGTCGCCGGGGATCAGGCCCATGCGGGAGAAGGCCTCGGAGAAGATGGCGCCCTCGGCGGCGATGCGAATGTCGCAGGCCAGCGCAACGCCCATGCCCACTCCCATGGCATGGCCGTTGACTGCGGCGATGGACGGCTTCTGGAGTTTGTGGATGCGCAGCGGCACCAGTGGAGCGCCGCCGGCGTATTCCACGCGGTCGTCGCGGTTGGCGAAGCGGGACTCCATTTTGCCCCATGGAAGGGGTTCCGGCTCGGCCCCGGCGGCTTCCGCCTCCTGGATGTTGCGGTTGAAGTTACGCACGTTGGCGCCAGAGCTGAAGGATGGGTCGGTGCCGGTAATCAGCAGCACCCGGCATTCGGGGTCGTCTTCGAACCGGTCCAGCTCGGCCCGGACCTCCGAGGCCATCTCGGGGCCCAGGGCATTGCGGGTGGGCGGATCGTGCATAGTCAGCACCAGAACGCCGTCGAGGTTTTCCGTCTTGATGTATTCGTAGGCCATCTGCCATCTCTCCGTAGGTATTCGAGTGGTGATGCCGGAACCGGTTTGCCCAGCAGCCCCGCAAGGTGGCGCGACCGCGCGACAGCCCATATAATCGCCATCACAAAAGGGGATGCTGTATCGGGCAACCCCACATTGCAGGTTAGCATACGGCCCAAGATTCAAACAACAAGACCGCAGGCCGGCCGGTTTGGGCTGGCGAAGGCTAAAGGAGTGCCCCCATGCAGCAAGGAAGCATCACGAATCTGCACATCGCCCGCGTGAAGGAGACACCTTCCGACCCGGTTCAGGAGGCCACCGCCATCTCCTCGATGGGCTCGAGGGGGACCGAAGTTGCCGCACGGGCAACATGCGCCAGGTGCTGATCATGGATAACGAGACCCTGGGCTCGTTTGGCCTGGTTCCCGGCCAGATCAAGGAGAACATCACGGTCACCGGACTCGACCTGTCCCAGACCGTGGCCGGCAACGTGGTCTTCATCGGTGACGAGGTGACCATGGAGATCGTGGGGGAGTGCGAACCCTGCGGCAAGATGGACGCCATCCGCCAGGGTCTTCAGTCCGAGCTGAACCACCGCCGGGGCATGCTCTGCACGGTCATCAACCGCGGCCCCATCAAGGTCGGCGACAACATCCGCGTCGAGCCGTAGGGCGGCGAAGACTACCGACTCCGCATGCAGCTACCCATCGTGGAGTAACAGTCCTGAGGAATGCCGACGGCCTACGTTGGGGCTGCGATAGTCACGCGGTTTCAGTAAAATAGAGTGCCGGGGAGCGTACGTTTCCCCGGCACTTTTGTGCGCTGCCAAGCAACGGCGGCATCCCTCTGTTGTGCTTCTTTAAAGAGGTCCTATGCAACGTGTAGCTACGGAACGATCGCTCGAAGTGTGCTTCTACTCGCAGGAGCCCAACGTTAATCTTTACTGGTTTGCTATGGCCCGGCTTTATTTACGCTGGATGCGCTGGCGTGATCACCACCTGCAGACCTGCTTCGGTGGGCTGTGATCGAGCCACCAGGCGGATCCTGGAGAGCATCCGCTAGCGAGCGTCGGGATGATCGGGTACTTCGTGGTGCTGGGCGTCTGGCTGGCCTGCATCTTCGGTCTCAGCTTCATGGCCAGCCGCGTTCCGCCTGCGGTGGCGGGAGGGGCCTATCTCGTCTTCACCGCCATCACCGGGGTGATGATCTCCTACATCTTCTGGGCCTACACCGGCAATACCATCGTCCTGGCCTTTGCGCTGACCACAGGTGTGTTCGGGGTGATGAGCGCCATCGGCTACACCACAAAGCGCGACCTTTCGGGCCTCGGGACGATGCTGATGATCGGCCTGTTCGGCGTGATCATAGCCGGGGTGGTCAACTGGTTCATCGGCTCCAGCATGCTGTCGTGGATCATCACGCTGGTGGCGCTGCCCATCTTCCTGGGCTTGACGGTTTATCAGACCAAGCAGGTCAAGGAGCTGGCCATGGAGGCAGCGATGCGCGGCGACGAGCGGGCCGCCAGCCAGGTGGCGATCATGGGCGCCGTGGGTCTGTATGTTACCTTCCTGAACATCTTCCTGATCCTGCTGCGGATCCTGGACATCTTCAACGGCGATTAGTCCCCTGCGGCAGCTGTGTTTCCCGATGGGATGGGCCCCGGATGTTTGTCCGGGCCCTCTCGTTTCCCTCGGGTTAGCCTGTAGCGGACGGCAGCGGACGGGTTTTGGAGATGCTACGCTACTTGACCGCGATGGGGCTGCCGGGAGAGCCGGTGCCACCCTTGAACGGCACGCGAACGAAGATGTAGGCAAACTCGTACACCTCGTCGTCGGCCAGAGTGCCGAGGTCCAAGTTTTCGTGGATCAGTATGCCGTTCTCGGCGAGCAGATGCTTGTGCACGGGGAAGGCGTCAGCGTCGTCAACGCCGGGGACAACTTCCACGGGCCAGGTATCAGCGCCGACCAGGGTGATGTTCTGGCCGGAAAGCCACTTGCCGACCTCCAGGCCTATGCCCGGGGCGCCGGCGTTGTACCTGTCGTCGTCCACACCCCAGAGGTCTCCCCATCCGTAGTGGAACAGCACTACGTCGCCATCGGTGATGTCATCCTCAGACATCCCCTGGGCTTCCAGGGCGCCATTGACGTCCTCCATGGTGACCACAGTGCCGGCGTCCAGCATCTCACCCTTGTAGCCGGCGATGTCGATCAGGATTCCCCTGGCAAAGATGGGCTTTATCTGCTCAACACCCAGTTGCTGCAGGCCGTAGCCTCCCATTATCTCGTCTTCGGTGAGCCCGTTGTAGAACCGCTCCACTCCGTTGTGGATGTAACCGACGTGGCCGAGGCCGTCGAACTGGGTGCCGACCTGGCCAAGTTCGCCGACGATGAACTCATCGTGGTAGATGAGGCCACCGGGGAAGGGCCCGCCGGTGGGAGCGCCGGGGATGGTAAGCGAGTAAGTCCTGGTCCCGAACAGAGGCATACCATGCCTGTATTGGCGGCCCAACTCGTAGATGTCTCCGGTCTCGATAAGATTTGCGGCCTCCAAAACCTTTTCCGCAGTTATCCAGTTGGAGGACCCGGCCTGGTCATCGGCGCCCCAGCGGGAGGGCCAGAAGTCGGCAGCGGTTTCGGACTCAGTCATCGTCCCGCTGTCGCCGTTGTCCTGGGTGTCCGTGGTACTGGTCTGTACCGTTTCTCCGTTGCCGTCATCCGCGGTCTGCAGGCACTCATCAATGGAGTCGACCAGGCGGCCATCGGTGCACTGGCACTGTTGCCTGCGTGCGCCTGCACACGTGCGCGTCAGCGCCAGTACGGCCACCAGCGCGACCAGCAGAGTGACGAATCGGAATCGGTCGCTGTTTAATCCAAACATCTTGATTTCCTCCAAGCGTTTAAGTTGTACCGATCGAAACATGTCGAAGTTTTTAATGCCTTTCTAACTATATAACAGTTTCGAATCGGAGGTTGTTATTTCGAAGGATGCGGCGATTCGAGTTTGGATGACCGAATTGTCATTGGAAGGATTGCGCAACCCGCGGGAAGAACTGGAAGGGCCCGCTCCCTTCTAAGGTAGTCGGCCCGTTGGTCGAGCTTGTGGTTGTGAGGAGTTCAGGCCTTGGTGCCGACCATGGAGGTGCTGCGGACTAGCTCGGCTACGTTGGTACCTCGTGGTGATGTCGCCAAGCCTGGACGGCTCGTCACGCAGACATTCATAAAATCAGGTTGCTCGCGCCTTCATGTGTCCCTTCGAACATGTTCAGTTGACGCGTTGCAAGGTTTGGATAGACGTGCTTGCTTAAAATCCTGCCTGTTCTTGGTACGATGGAGCCTACTGTCCATACATGCTCTTCGCGCTTCAGCATGCGCTCGTAAGGTAAGTGTCCAACCTTTTGAAAAAACCATACCACCGATCATAAAGGGAACATCGTGTGCTCGGACCTACCTCGAGACAGGTTGGACTCCTGCCAATCTTCCTCCCGCCCCGAACCCGAATCCAGGAGTCGAAAAACCTGCATAGTGCGTACGATTCGTCGGCGCGCTGGAGGCAATCGTAGGCTGTCATCTCTCGGCGGCAACGTCGGGAGATACACACGCTTTCACTGGAGGCCAGATGTAACTCCTCAGGTTGTTCCAGTATTAGAGACCGGCCCTTGTCCGCAAAAACCGGTTCCAATAGTCCTGTGCCGGATCGTAATTATTCTGCTTGGACAGGCGAGAAGTTTGCTGTTTTTTCGGGCTCGCTATCCAATCCCACCCGCCTACTTGTTGTTTACTGTAAGGTCCACACTCAGGCCACTGAGTTTGTTGTCCGCTCATCGATGGTCATTTGTCCAGGTTGACCTGGCTTGGGAATATACATCGGCTTGGACCGATGTGTCTCTGCACGTCACATCACCAGGTCTCAGTGTCCTGGAGTTCCCTAAACAGCCTGATTTGGTTCAGTGATAACCTAGTCCGAACTCTAATGCTAACGGACCTTGAAAATACCTACCTCCGATACATCGGCCTTCGTACCATCCTCTATATCATCAAACGTCACTGGAACAAAAATTCGTTATAACTCTAGTGAAATGTCCGCCGTCCGGCTAGCGAACGAAATTGAACTTTTGGGGTTAGTCCGAGCACGAATGCCACTTGGCATCTGAGGCTCTGTGCCACGATAGCGGTCGGAATCAAATAAGGCCGATTGGCCGTCTCGAGGATTGCTCCTCGCGGATGTCGAACTTTCCAATAGCGAGTTCGCGTAACTTGTCGTCCAGAGTTCCGGCGAAGGTAGAAACTACACTGCAACTGTAGGAGCGATCTCGCCGACCGCACATCAAGGCTCGCTCTGGCTGAAAATTCTCTCTTCAGGCACCGCTGTACTCACTCAAATGATATGTTTCCCACACCCGCGCGTTTTTTAGCCACTTCGTGGTAGCTTCCCTCATTCTCAACTTCGTAAATTGATTCAAACATTCCCTAATTTCTGCTACCCGGATTGAATGGGCGGTTTTCTCTCCAGTACTTATCAAAGCACTTCAAACTGCAAAAGAGGCCATCATTTAGCCGACCAGTACCATATCCTTGAAGGTAACACTTTCGCATGGGCAAACTCCTTCTGACCGACAACGGGTTTGCCAAATATGAAAAAAACGCTGTGGGTCGACATACTCCTCCTGTTGAAAAGGACGCTCTTCACTCATTTCCATCAATCGCTCAGACCGCGGGGAGGGGCCCGCCGACGGGTCGGCCAGAGATCCTCACGCCAGATACAGCAGGATCATATCCCAATGGATTTCACGGCTTGGGCCACCCCCAAAAGAGCACGAGGAATTCCGATTACTATCTGACTAATAGACAAGTTGGCGGGTGAAAAACCCCCCGCCTCGTCGGCCTTGGTCCAGTACGCCCATGCACGCATCAAAGCAACTATCCCTAGAAAGTCTGCCGGAAAGCCATTGGCCGGGTTTTACGCTAACGCCAAGCGACGAATTCCAGTCTTATACCGCGTGGTAGTGCATATAAATACATTGCAAACACCCACTATTTCCTCGATAATCGACGTTAAGAAACGACGGCTTTGGGCAGAATCGGGGTTTCCGGCCAGGCTTCTAGTGCCGATGTTCCTGAGCAACAACGGCCACTTTTGCGATAAGTGATTGCTACGATGGGGTTCAGGCCTTGGTGGCCCCAGGGTGTGCCGGACCAGCTCGGCTACGTTGTGACCTGGGGATCGACCAGCCCTGGACGGCTCGGTTCACGTCGTCCCCGTCGTTGAGACGAGAGCGACGTTCTCCTCGAACTTGGCCCGATGATGCTGTCGAAGCCCCACGGGTTTCTCTGGCTTCCGAATGTCCCTGCCCGTCCGGTGGTGTGCTCCAGGACGCGGCCGTCCTGAGGGTGATCTTCACCTTCAGGCCGTCTCGGAGTTGGTCAGCAGCTCCTCGGACTTGGCCATTACGCGGGTGCGGACCTGTCCATC